GACGCAGGGCCATGTCGTGCGGTGTTCCGCAGGAGCCTGTCCTAGGACCGCTCCTGTGGAACATTGGGTACGACTGGGCCCTACGAGGGCGTCTCCCCCCCGGGCTGGGTGTAATCTGCTACGAGGATAACACCTTACTCACGGCCCGGGGGGCTAACTTCCAGAAGGCGGCGCGCCTGGCCGCCACGGGAGTTTCCCAGGTGGTCGGGCGCATTGAGGCGTTGGGATTACGGGTGGCCCTGGATAAGTCGGAGGCCCTATTATTTCATGGGCCCCGTCGTGGTCCACCCGCCGGCGCCTCAATCGAGGTCGGCTTGGTCCTCCTACCGGTCCGGGCTCAGATGAGGTACCTGGGTCTGGTCCTAGACGGTAGGTGGCTCTTCGACGAGCACTTCCGACAGCTTGGTCCGAAGTTGGTGGTCACTGCCTCCGCCCTAGGGCGACTTTTGCCCAACTTGGGCGGGGCCAGTGTTCCCACGAGGCGGCTGTACGCGGGAGTTGTCCGGTCCATGGCGCTGTATGGTGCACCGGTGTGGGTGGCGGCTCTGACCGCCCCGAATAGGGCGTGCCTCTGGCGCCCCCGGAGGATATTGGCTGTCAGAGCCATACGCGGATACCGCACGGTGTCCACCGAGGCGGCTTGCGCCTTGGCCGGAACACCCCCGTGGGATTTGGAGGCGGAAGTGCTCGCCGAAGTGTATCGGCGAGTGGCTGACTTCCGGGCGGAGAGCGGATTTCGCCCTCCACCCGAAGACGTGCGCGAGTGGCGCGAAGCCGCTCGCCGAGCCACCATGGCGAGATGGTCGTTCCGGCTGGAGACTCCACGCGCTGGCTTCGCCGCCGTGGAGGCTCTCCAGCCGGTCATCGCCGAGTGGTCAGGGCGGCAGCACGGGACCCTTACCTTCTGGCTGACGCAGGTGCTCTCCGGGCACGGTTGCTTCGGAAAGTACCTGTACTAGGTCGCTAGGAGGGAATCGAGTCCCGCCTGCCACCACTGCGACTGCAGTGAGGACTCGGACCAGCATACGCTGGCGGTCTGCCCCGCTTGGGCGACGCAGCGCCGGGCCCTCACTGCAGTCATCGGAGCGGATCTCTCGCTACCGGCCGTAATTCGCTCCATGGCCGGTAGCGACAGTGTTTTTAGAGCCTTCTGCGAGGAGGTAATCTCGCAGAAGGAGGCGGCGGAGAAGGCCCGGGAGGACGACCTCCGTTCGGACCCGATCCGCCGCCGGCGAACCGGGCGGCGGAGGCGCGCTCACCTGCGCCTCATGCCGCCCTGAGTGTGGCCGCGGGTGGACGGGATGGGTTATCCCCTCCACCCGCATTAGTTTGGCCAGCCGCGAGGGGGCGGCGTCCGCGTGTGCCGGACGTCGCCTAAAGAGAGGAAAAATTTTTGAGACGGAGCCCGCAACAGGAGCGGGCGGGGAGGGGAGGGGTCCAGAAGGCGATAACTACCTGGCTCCCTCCTAAACTGGAAGCGCAAAGAGGGCACACCGTGTGGTTTTAGTCGGTTCGAGTCCGACACATCGCCCCGCCGAACTGAGAGTCCCGGCGGGGTGACGGTCCGAGGGGATTTCCACACGTTAAAAAAAAAAAAAAAAAATGGAGTGATATTGCTTGCTAAGTCTTTTGCAATGTTAGTAAAATAAAAATTTATTTCTTCTAAGGATAGATAGATAGATAAATACTTTATTTGTACACCAATGTTTTACAGTCATTATACAGTAATTAACGACCGATGTAATGTACAAAGGGCGGCCTTATCGCTTAGTGCAATTTCTTCCAGGCAACCTTTGGATGAATTGATTTTGAAATGGTGATAGGTATACATAAATTAGAGAAGTAAATAAGGTCTTAACCTATGAAATATTTTTTTATACATAAATACTACTAATCTATATTTATACATAAATACTATACATACATACGTTAATATATACATACGCAAATTTTCAACTATTAGAGACAGATAATGCTCATATAGCATAGTCTTGAAGGTGGTTACGGATTGCGCACGTCTGATAGTAACCGGCAAGGCATTTCATAAACGTATAGCTTCTACAGAAAATGACTTTGTGTAGAAATTGGTAGAATGCCTTGGTATTTCCAAGCTCAGGCTTTCAGAGGACCTCAGACATTTCATATGTGTGTCATGGAGGAACTTAAAGCGTTCTTTGAGGTAAGTAGGAGTTAATGGATTAAACAGTAGGTATATTATACAGAAGCGTAAGGATATGAGTATTCCGGCGAAGGCGGATCGGAAGCCATCTGAGCTTTTTAAGGTAGTGGGAAACATGATAATATTTGCGAAGTTCAAATATGAATCGCATACAAAAATTTTGGAGACGCTCAAGCTTATCAAGATGTGCTTCGGTGAGATCGAGAACGAGAGAGAGTGAGAGAGAAGCTAACGTCGGCATAGTCAAGAATCGGAAGAAGGAGCGTTTGTGCAAGTGCAGTTTTAGTAGCAGTCGGAAGAAAGTTTCGTAACCTTCGCAAAGATCCCGCTGCAGCGAAGACTTTGCGGCTCACCTCCTGAATCTGAGGTCCCCATGATAAGGTGCTATCGATTATGACTCCCAAGTTTTTTACTTTGCTGCTGATCGGTATGATGGTATTGTTAAATTGAACCGGAGGCAAATGTGACCAATTAATTTTAGCAGACATTATGGGACTCCCAATGATGCATACCTGTGATTTTGTGGGATTAATTTTGAGTCCATAGTCGTTACTCCAAGCACTTATGTACTCTAGATCTGCATTAATAATATTAAGCGCAGTCGATAACATACTGGCAGGTGCATGGGTGTATATCTGTACACCATCAGCATACTGGTGGTAGGATGAAAGTAAATTATTGGAAATAGAATTAATAAAAATTGCGAAGAGTAATGGAGATAGAACGCCACCCTGTGGGACACCGACAGTTGCATTACACCATGAAGAGAGGAAGTCTTCAAGTCGAATGCGATGCTGACGCCCAAACAGGTAATTGTGAAACCAATCAATTGCCCCTGGAGATATGTTAAGAGAGCGAAGAATACCAAGGAGAATATGGAAATCGATGGTATTAAATGCGTTACTGAAGTCGAGTAAGGATAATACCGTTCACTAATGATTTATCAGTGCTAGACGACTAAGCTGTTTAAACTGCACAGCCCATGAAGAATGTTCGCATTACGAACTAGGACAAATTCAAATACAGTTTAAAGTCCCAAATTCCCCAACTTATTCTGTGTTATCTAATTCTCTATTCAGTCTTCTAGTAACCCAGGAATTAGTCAAGCTACAACTGAGTCAATTTCACCCGGTTATTTTGAAACATTAACACCTGATAACTTAATTGAAAACTTAAATTTACCAAGCCAAAGACCCCTAAAGAGAGTACGTCGCTTCTTTTCGGAGACTTCCGATTCTTCCTTAGAAATAACACCAAAGAAACGACGCCAGCGTATCATATCAGACGATTCTGACGATGAAAATATATTTTCTCTCTAATTTTTACACGAAAAAAAATCCTTTGTGATGATTGGACATGTTATGATTATTCATTATTTTCTAATACATAACAATTTTATAATATTATTTGCTTTACTATGGGCAATGACTTCATTTTGAACATTTGAAATTAGATTTTTCAAGCGAATAATAACAATATTATCATGTTACGTTTATGGCTTAATCATTCTGTAGAAAACTAGATTTTTTTCTGTGAAATTTCCACAGGAAAGGTGTCCATTCTGTGGATAACTTTTGTTTTTTTTTTGTCTAAAATACACGTATAATCAATCTTTAATTATTTTGTGATGATTGTGAGTATTGTTTTGAGCATATTAAATTAGCTTTCTCAAATGAATCGTAATAATGTAAGTGCTTAAATAAGGTTATGTTATCAACTGTAGACAAATAAGTCTTTTCTGTGAACAGATAAAAATAAAAACTGTGATTTTTTGCAAAAATGTGTTAGACTGATCTGTTTCCATATTATTAGCAATAATCAAAGAGTACAATGTGAATAAAGACTGATTTTCAAAATGAAATTTGATGTTTTATTTTTAGGAAATTATGAATTATACAATTTGTGTTTGACCCATATAGAAGATACAAGAACTACTGTAACGACTTATTAGAACGGTCAAAGAGAAGTTTCTTTACGAATGAGCTGAATAAAAATGCACATAACCCAAAAACTAAATGGAAAGTCATTAATACTATAATTGATAAAGACACTAAAAAGCCACCCCCGCTAGATCTACTTAAAAAGAAAAAATCGGCACAACTATCCTTGGGGGTGGTGTGGCCATATACCTACGCACTCACATTCAATTCTCCATCGTAAGTTTGTCCTCACAGCCACCAAGAACGGATGCGGGCGAACACCTCTTCTTGGAGGTGGAACTTCATCACCACAAACTTCTGCTCGGTGTGTATTATTAGCATGTATGGCACATAAACACGTGTTTCGAACATGTACTTGAGGAAATAATACCCAGAACGGCCGGTATCTTCAAAACGTTTCATACGATATGTTGACTCCAGACTTATTTACAAAAGTTTTGTGCAAATTTATCAGTGAATTATTCAAAAAACGAATCTGTTTTTTATCCTTCTTTCTCGTTATAGTATCTTTTTTCCCCGATGTAAGTGTACTTTGTTCATCTTGAAGCAAAAATTCTTGTACTGCTTCTTTTATTTCTTGCGCTTTCTTATACTTTCTGACACTTTCGGATGTTTGCTTGTCTTTTTCTAATCTATTTGATAATCTTATATGTCTCATTCTGTATTTTGCCATTTTAGATTCCAACTGCAGTATTATTTTTCTTAGGTAATCATCTTCGATTCTTAATCTTCTTGCATTGCGTTTCACAACCGCATTACCAACTCTCACGCGTGAAAATGAGGGACTATTCGGTGGCGTATCTTGTTCAAAAATACGCAAAGCATTTTTAATAAATTCTTTTCTTCTCGCGTCGTAACTTAGCCTTTTCTCTCCATATTTTTCAGATTTGTCGTTGTTGTCTAGGCGTATAATCTTTAATACTTTTGATTTTACCTTGTTCCTTCTTACGTCGATATCTTTCTCTGTCTTGTCTTCTTCTATTTTCTAGATCTGCTTCTTTCATCTGAGCACGTGCACGACGTATACTGAGCTTTTTTTGTTCACGCCTACGTAGTTTTTTATCTTCTTCGGAAAGCTGGTTCCTAGTTCTACTTGCCCGTGGCATCGTAACTCCAACAATCACAGGATACTGTAATACATAACATAGAATATAGCTTTAAGCGTAATAGCTGAATTGTTTGAACTAAAAACAACCTGCTAATAATTTTCACAGCATCTTCTAGTAACAATGCAAAATTTTTATGTAGAAAAACAGTTTTCTTAAGCGGGAAAAGGTATGTTACTTCCCTCCCGTAGACAATAGTATTTCCTGTAGACACTAGCATCTACAGGAAAGATGTCTACAGGAAAGACAATTGTAAATATATTAAAGATGGCGTGTTACAGTTTGAGGTTAGAATAAAAACAATTTAGATTTCGCAACTAGTAACTTAATATGCATAGAAGCGTAAGTCTCATTTATTTTTAAGGGGTCTACTTACCAATATACACTCAGTACAGGAAAGATTCACCAAACCCGACCAAAATCTTGTGTAACTCCTTAAATAAATATTTTTCGTCGACACCAACACCTTTTATCAAAATTACGAAGAAATGACTTATGGAGAAAACAGTAATGCCAACACGATAAAAAAATAATATCGGATGCGTTCAAAATTTTTAAAATATTGTATGTTGTACGTGTCTACAGAAGAAGACTATAAAAATTAGAACAACATGTTTATATATTTTTATTCGTAATTTAAGAACGATGATTTTTTAAAGAACACATTTAAAATTCCAAATATTTATTAAATTCAAATAATATAGTAATTGTTCCTTAAATAATTTTAAATCACTGTCAAACTGAAGTGCGTAGTATCCGAACAGTCTACAGAAGGAGACATTTTCGTGCAAAAGAAATTCTTAAATTAATATTTTAGTCATCAAATCCAAAAAAAGTTTAGAAATCAAATCTCCCAAAATTTAACCTTGAATTTAAAAAAAACACTGCACGATAAAATAATTAATATCTATAGTTTATATAGAGCTAAGCTATAAGTTATAAGAGCGTAGAAGCTAATATTACTGTGTGTTGTTATTATAACAGTAAATCATTGTGGCTATTATAACAGTAAATCATCAATATCTAAAAATTAAAGCCTTAATTGGTCATAGATTTATCAACTTTAGTATTGATTTAAAATGATTAATATTACGGATTTTAATGGATAAAGTTGACTACCTTTCTGTATCTCAAGTCATTACTTGCATTCCTGAACACACAAAAACTTTTATAAAACACCTAAATAACTATCTTAAAATCATCACTCTCAACATACGATCTATTAATCGCAATAACCTAGAACTACAAACACTACTGAAGCGCCTCGATATCGACTGTGACATTCTGGTGCTGACGGAGTGTTGGCTTAAATGTGACAGCAATACTAACATCTCAATATTACAGGGCTTTGCCTCGTTTAAAACAAACAATCATCAAAACCAATGGTGTCGGTGTCATCAAAACCAACCATCATGATGGTGTTGTGGTCTATCTCAGATCTACAATAACGGCCACATGTGAAGAGCCCAACTTTTGTGAAACGGTCTCTGGTCTGTTAATTACGTTAGACTCCATGTCAATAATCTGTGTATATCGATTACCTTCTAATCACCTAATTGACAATTTCTTATTTGCCCTTAACAATATCCTATCAACCCTCAACAGCAATAAGTCTGTAGTTCTAACAAGCGATATCACTATCGACATTAAACCTATGACTAACGACACACGGAGTCAATCTTACCTTACATTTTTGGCCTATCACGGTTTTCTACCAGCACATGCTCAACCCACGCGAGACAAGAACTGCATTGACCACTTAATGTTGAGAACAACTTTTCAAACTATTACACTCCTCTTCGAAACGGCGGTAACCGATCACTACCCGACCTTGCTCTGTATAGCCAAAAACATAATTAAAGAAGCTAGTCCAAGGGAGGTTAGCACTGTCGATTATGTTGCGCTTGACCAACTTATGGAAAATACAGATTTTTCACCCATTTTCTCCATGTCAGACCCAAATGATGCAACTGACAACTTTATAAAAATAGTTAAAAATGCTATAGCCAAATGTACATCTACTGTCAAACTCTCTGCTAGGAAAAGAGTGCTTAAACCATGGATAACACCAGGCTTCTTACGGTGTATACGACATAGAGATTTACTTCACAAAAAAGTTAAACAAGTCCCAGATGATATTACCATTCTCACCACCTATAAACAGTACAGAAAGTTTTGCTCAACTATTCTAAAAAAAGTAAAAAGGCAGTATGACACACAGGAGCTAATTAAGGCAAGTCACAGCCCCAAAAAGCTCTGAGATTCTATTAAACTTATAACAAACACAAGCAAACTTACTAATATGTCAAACAAACTGTTATCACTCTCGACGTCACCTCAACAGTCTTGTAATAGTGTTAACCAATTTTTCGTAAACATTGGAAAAAATTCCGCCGAAAAAATACAAAACACCTACACTTCATCAAGTACACCACCTAATTGCACTTCAAATCATAATAATTCCTTCGTCTTAGAGCCAACAGACCCCGTTGAATTTCGTCTGTGATAAACACACTAAGGGTGACTGCTGCTGTGGGTTGGGATGGTATTCCCTTGTCATTCCTTAGCCGATATAATGTATTTATAGTGTCCTCATTAAGCTATATTTTCAACCTCTGTTTTGAAACAGCTATTTTTCCTATCTCTTTCAAACAAGCCATCATTCTTCCGATTTTTAAGGGTGGTGACGGACAGTCGCCAAACAACTATCGACCCATAGCTGTACTTAGTGCTTTATCCAAGATACATTGGCGATGAACCTTCCATCCATTACGGCGTGCCTCAAGGAAGTATCTTAGGCCCTACTTTATTCCTTGTCTTTATTAACGACCTTTGTAACTTAAACATTCCACACGCAAACATTGTATCTTTTGCAGACGACACGGCCATAACTTTTAATGCAAACACATGGTCTGAACTTGAAACTGCGGCTCAAGGAGGTTTCTGTACTGTTTTAACCTGGCTTACCTCACACACTCTAACTCTTAACACTACCAAAACAAATTTTATGACCTTCTCGCTTACCCCACTATCGCTCAGTTAATAATCTGCGTCTCTTATGTCCCCTACACAACTTCGACTTCGTGAGCTCTTCGTTCTTTGTTCAAGCAGTACTACTCCGGAATGCGCTCCCGCTCGAAGTCAGGATGTCCACAAACTGCTTTATTTTCAAAAAGAAGGTACATGATCTCCTTCTTAGCGAGATGGCAGAACCATCTAATCGATAGTATACCTCAAATTCCGGTATTCATAGTGTGCGAATATAATATGTCTATATATTACATGGGCCGAAAAGTCCCTGGCATAACACATAAATGGCGCTAGTTTTGTTGCAGTCACCTTTTTTTCAGTTAATCCTAACCTTCAAAAGACAGCTGTTAGAATTTCATGATATTCTATTCATTCGTTTGTGAGTTATTGTGTTAAGAGTGACGCTACTTTTGTTATTTTCGAAACAATGGATCAAAAACAATTTCGTGTTTTAATTTTACACTGCTTCTTGATAGGAAAATATACCGTTCAAGCGAAGCAATGGCTTGAAAAGTGTTATGGGGACTCCGGTCTATCAGAAACAACAATAAAACGTTGGTTTGTTGACTTCAAACGTGGTCGTAGAGACACCGATGATGCAGAACGTAGTGGACGTCCAAATGAGGCGGTAACACCAGAAAACATAAAAAAATCCACAAAATCGTTTTGAATGATGAAGTGTGAAAAGTGAAGTTGCGTGAGTTAGCTGACATCGTAAAGATATCAAAAGAACGTGTTGGCTTTATATTGCATGAGCATTTGACTATGAGAAAGCTCTGGTCAAAGTGGGTGCCGCGTTTACTCACTGTTGACCAAAAACGAGAACGTGTTGATGATTCTGAGCAGTGTTTGGCCATGTTTAAACGTATCAAACCGGAATTTTTGCGTCGATATGTGACAATGGATGAAACATGGATCCAACACTTCACTTCGGAATGAAAACGATCGTCATCTGAGTGGACTGCAACTGGTAAACCTCGTCCAAAGCGCCCGAAAGCACAACAATCGGCTGGAAAGGTTATGGCTTCGGTATTTTGGGGTGTGCGTGGTGTAACATTAACAGTGAATATTATATACCGTTATTGGAGCGTTTGAAGGCCGAAATTGCAAAGAAAGGACCGCAAATGGCAAGGAAAAAAAATTTGTTTCATCAAGACAACGCACCGCGTCACAAGTCAATCAAAACAATGGCAAAACTAGATGAATTGAACTTCGAATTGCTCCCACATCCACCGTATTCGCCAGATTGGCTCCCAGCGAATATTGTATTGGCTACAGACCTGAAAAAAGTGCTCGCCGGTAAGAAACTTCGCACGAATGAAGAGGTTGTAACCGCTTTTCTTCTCAGGCGGACTACTCACCGGCTGACCCAGTGGAGAGATTCAAGAGATTACCTCAGGGCGCCTTGTATGAGAATAGAAGTGTGTGCGTGTGGGAAACCTATGGGACTCTTTAGAGGAAAACGACTTACACCTCAGTTATACATACATGTATATTTCAAAAAAAAGTAGATCAAATTTACAATAAGAAATTAAATAAATTAAACAGTGTGGGTACAAGAAAAAGAAAAAAAACCGCAGCGGAGCGCGTTAGAGCCGAGCTGATGGTGCTCGGTGCCTCCTCGTCGTCCCTCCAGGAGGTTACTTCCTCTTCCGCCCGAGTCGGCTATTTATATTAGATATGGATAAAAGTTTAACAATGTGCAATTATAAGTTTAAGTACGTAACTCTTAGGTACGGCTGTCCGCTTGCGTCGTGAGCCGCGCAATCACCAGCTTTGCCAGAGGGCACCGAGAAACTTGAGTCTGAACCAGAAGGTCACAAAAGAGCAAGCACGCCGTCTGAGACTGACCGTCTTGACCCCGAAATCTGGGACCCTACGAATGGATTAGCACTCATATAATTAATCAGGTTCCAGAAACAAATAGGTTTAAGTAGAATTAAGATCATACTCACCACTTTAGTGTGGGT